CCATCTCTTGGCTCCGCCCCTGGCTGGAGGGCGGTGAAAACTGACAAAGTTCCTGGACGGATCAGCGGAACACGGGCTGTTCCGTGTTTCGCGGGGTCCAGCTGGCTGTGAAGGCTCTCGGCTGTAGCTACGCGGCTCTGCTCGGCGGAAGCTGCGGGTTCATAAAACTTGAAAAGACCCCGCCCACCGGACAGCCAGCCAGGCGTCTGTTTACGAAAAAGTCACGGGAGCAGCGTGGAGACATGTCACACGGTGGTGTCCACGCAGGAGGAGGAACCAGGAGTCAAATTCACCCGGACAGCCAGCTGTGAGTCTCACCATGGAGCCGCTCACCTCGCGCAGGATAATGTGACATTTCGGCTGCTGCCTTTCTGGACTCGGACACCCTGGAAGTCAATTATATGTGGATTTTGAGGAATCGCCACGCGAGTTAAAATGACGAGGCGTAAAAGACACAACCTACCGAATTGTTGCGCCTAAAAAACACCACAAAACCTTAGGTTTGGAGCACGCAGTTTTCTCTCTCTCTCCCTTTCCCTTCCCCTCCAGGCGGGTTGGACACGAGCAGGAACCACAGGGAGGATTAAAAAAATAAATAAAAAAAGAGGCAGAGAGAGAGAGAGGCGACATGGAGAGCCCGACCGAGAACCCGACCAGGGCTGCGGAATATCTGAAAGAGCTGAACAAGATCATAGAGACCCAGCAGGAGCTGCTGGAGCGGCAGAGGGGCCGGATAGAGGAGCTGGAGCAGCAAGTGTCCGACTTGTGCGCAGAGAACGGCTGCCTGAAGGATCAGTACCAGCGGCACCTGGCAACCTGCAGGCTGCTGGCGCTGGGAGCCATCAAGGAGCACGGCACGCAGGAAAAGTAAGGCACGACAACACATTCAAAATAATAAAAAAATAAAAGAAAACCTCTGACAAACTTAGACAGCCGCTGTTTGCCCACATCTCCCTTTCAACAGGCTCTTTTTACCCAAGTTTGCCATCAAGCCTAATTAGAGGCTGGTCGCGCAGCTGCGTTCAGCTCCGTCTCTCCGCTGAAAACGAGCCGCTGGATTTCACACGACAGCAGAAAACTGCTGCTGTTTGCCTGATGTGGATCCATTAAGGAGAGCCTGACCATAGCAACCAGCATCCCTCACAGCGCGCTGAGCAACCAGGGAAATAAATAAATAATAAAAAAAAACCCCACAATGCTTGTTTCAACATGAACCAGCGTCAAACAGAATGAAATGCTTTATGTTCTGAACTCTCTTGAGCACAAAAGCGTTCAAAAATAAAATGCCTAGCATATCTTGAATTAATGCATATCGCCCGCCTGAGTTAAGTCATGATGACATGTGGCAGAGTTATTGTTGTTTTGAAGTTTGTTAAAGTTGGGAACATCTTGACTTGAACTCAAAAAAACAGTGCTGACATCCTTCTGCTTATAGCGAACAATAGTTTTGATTAGCGGATTAGCTTTTTCACTAACTTTGAAAACCATTCGTGGACCAATTAGCTTCCGCTAAATTAGGTTTTGCCAACTTTTGATGATGCCTTTATTGTCATTGTACAGAGCACAATGAAGTCACAGTTAAGAACACCCTATTCAAGAAGACACACATGACAAAACATGGGGGAACAGGTGAACAGGCCATGCAGGCAACTAGGGCTGCCACGATTAGTCGATTAGTCGACGACTAATCGATTATTAAAATAATCGATGACTAATTTAATAATCGATTAATCGTTTTTTTGTTCTTTACTTTGTTTTTCTCTCCAAACTGCTTTGACACCTTCCACTGCCACGTCTGCCTTTCTGTCCTTGACACACATGCACAGTAGTGGTAACTGGGGTAGGCCGTGGACGTCACAAGACATTATACAGACAGGCTCTGGTATCATGGCTACCTGGCAACAGAGCTCAAAAGTGTGGGATGATTTTAAGAAAATGAAACAGAAACCTGTGCAATATCTGCAGAGCAGAACTTGCCTTCCATAGCAATTATTTTTAGTTAGCATATAGCTAAAATCAAACCTTGGTTATATAATAGCAGCTGCATTCTGACGTGATAAGCTGTGTTTTAAATTCAATTAACGCATGATCCGATTAGTCGACTAATCGAAAAAAATAATGGGTGATTAATCGATTATAAAAATAATCGTTTGTGGCAGCCCTATAGCGGCAACCGGCAGGGGTCGCGCTTCCTTTTAAACAGTCCGCTAACAGCTTACTGACCCCTAATTCACACTAGATGTGGTTCTGTTCTGTTCTGGTCCGGCCCGACCCCCGCAGCAAATACACAACCATTATAATCAGAGTGTTCACACTGGCTCCACACACTGCAGTGAGCGGAAGGTGATCCGCCAAAATTAGATTTCAACCCTATTTTTGCCGGATGCCGGAGTTGCTCCGGAGTCGATCTACAGAGATCATGTTTCATCAGCGGGAAAAGGAACAAGCACAACATCTGTGTTTTCAAAATAATTCACCAAAGGCAGACTAATTTTGTTGAAATCCCAACTGTTATAATAGATATATGGATATATTTGTATACAAAATGTATTGTTTTGTTTGGGGAGCAGATGGGAACATGGCGTGCTGCGTACGGATACACACAATACATGTGGGTTTTATTCTGAAATCAGACGTTTCAAAAGGACAACATCGATGCAGTTTCAGCTGTGTTTGGAGTCCATCTTCCACAGAATTAAACATTTTGCTCTGACTTCCATATTTAATACTGGATTTGTCGTGCGATCTTGTGTTTCCTGCACACGCTTCTCAGACCTCCTCTGTGATTCGCAATGGAGCAGAGCGAACGCAGTGTAAATTGGGGTGCAAACGAACAGCAGTGAACTGCACACTGCAGCGGAGCCGCATCTAGTGTAAATGATGGGTAACCAGCTATTAACAGGTTTACGTTAGTCCCATCAGTCTTCAGCTTGAAAGAGACAAAGATATGTGATGCAGATTGAGAGACAGACTGTGTCCAAATTCAGGGGCTACATCCTCCAAAGGCCGAATTTGTCGTCCGCTTACATCACTGCGTTGCACCGAAGGCTGTCCAAATTCGAAGACTCCTCTGATCTCAGCTCACAAATGCGTCCTCCTTTTTCCCCCTCGATTTGAGGGACGGTCCAGTGGATCCTTGTCCAGCCTATCCCATGGTTGTGTCCAAATTCAGGGGCTGGGTCCGTCAAAGTACCACCAGACCTGTCCTCAAATCAGGGGAAAATAAAGACACATTTGTGGGCTGCGATTGGATGAGCTTTCAGATTTGGACAGCCTTCAAATTCAGCCTTCGAAGGATGTAGCTCCTGAATTTGGACACACCCACAGTTATCTTGGCAGTAAGCGATTAGCTGTTAGCCTCCACTTTAGCATTAGGAAAACTATATTTTTAATTTGCGGATTATGAGTTTGGTTAGCTGTGCCCACCACTAATGTGTAATGTGTTTATAAATCCAGTGATTAGATATTTTGACAACAGACAATCAGCACTGACTCCAGCAGTTAGTTTTAAGCAGTGAGCTTGCACAATGAGTGATAGTTGTGTTGTGAATGATTTTCAGTTACTACCACATCAACCCTTAGCTCAATATTTGCAAAACTGTTCTAATTAAAGCCATTCTTGAGTTTTCGTAGCTCAGTTGGCTGTGGTGGCTGTCTTGAAATGAGTTTGCTCCAAACGTTAATCGCTTGTAGATGTACACTCGATAATTACTTTCTGAAAGTCTCATTAAAATCCGTCCAGACATTTAGGAGATATTTTGCAGAGTTGACTCAAAATAGTTATAGGCAAAATCTGTTCAAAATACATGTTAAGGATGACTCTGAGCTACTACCACATCAAATATTAGATCAATATCCATAAAATTGACTGGTTTATAACTATTTTTTATGGTCTGTTTACAGTTTCGGACATCTTAAATCAGGTTGACTGTCAGTGGTGTTAGATGTAGATCAGCATAATATTTCATAAACGAATAGACGGCTTTATGTTTTTTTTTTTTAAATCAAAATGTGTTCAGCGTTTGAGATATTTTGCTAACAGACGTATGAACACTGGATCAAAAACAAATGCAGATCTATGATGCAGTTCTGTGCTTCAGGGCAGGTTAAGTCGGAGCGCAGTCAGTGATTCTACAACATACTCTGAAAGTCAAACACTTAGAAGGAGCTACTGTCCATGTTAGAGTTCACCCTCTGTTAGCTCCCCCCATCCCACTGCATGCAGACATTTAACTCAGGCTCTGACAGCCCGCGGGATCATGTGATCGAGCTTGACCTTTGTCTCCGGGGATGTGTTGGTGTCACTGGGATCAGTGGCAGCAAATCAATACTGTTGACTCAGGGCCTGTGCGTGTCTCTGCTGGTTGATCAAAACAGAGACTCATGAGAACAGGACGCTGACCTTTTGGCCCTGTCCACACTGGAATGCCGTTTTGTGATTACCCATAGTTTTCTTTTTTTACATTTGTGTAATAGTTTCAATCCTGCGTCTACAGGGAAACGTTTACTGAGCTTAGGAAACCAGGTTCCAGAGTGAGAGAAACGCCACCTTTTTAGTTTTCAGTGGGACAGCCTAAGCACAACCTTTTGAAAACAATGTCATAGCTTCACCTCTAATCTAACCTACAACCCCAGACGTAACAAAAATATCAATAATGCTTGAATTCACACTATTGTTTGTTTTTTCATTTGCCATCTCATTACTTCTGAATATATTGTGCTATTTTAGCCATTCACACATCAGAACCACAAACCAGTTCAGACTTTTGGTTTATGAAACTCATACATGTTTTAAAAGATTTATCTGAATTACAATGTTTTCTTATAAAAGTACGCACAGAAGCTATATTTAAAAATCTGATCAGTATACTTCCGTTTTTGTCTTTTATGCTTCTTTTAGATCAGGGCTATTCAATTGGAGGCCCCTGGGCCACATTACGCCCACTGGTGACCAAAATCCGGCCCACCAATTGTTTCATTAAGTTCATTGGTTCTTAAGCCCAACCCCTCAGTTTTCTACTTTAATTATAAGTTCTTTAAATTGAACATAGACATGTATGGTATACAGAAACGTCAGAATCTTGCCCAAAAGCTGGTAAAAAACCACTTGAATGAAAACCCAAGACACTTAAAGCTACAAGCAGTAGAATATAAAATTATGATAAGTAAAAATAAAATTGGTTTAAAAATGTGGCAAGGCAAAAATGTCAAAAGTAATATTTGTGTCAGTTGTTTTTGAATTTGTTTTAATATCACTTCTTTTATTACATTGGGCTCTATGTTGTACTCATGATTAAATGCAGCAAAGTAAACTAATTCAAAGGTAACAGATCTTTGTAATACTTGGTTTATTTACATATAGACTTTAATTGCTGGATGTTCGGCCCCTCAGCTGTTGGCCTGCACTAACTGTGGCCCCCAGAGCAATTTAGTTGAATAGCCCTGTTTTTAGATTGTAGCTATTTTTCTGCTTTTATTTGTACTTTTGTTACATTTTAGCTTTTAGCTTACATTTTATTACATTTAGCTTTTAGCTTACCTTTTCCTACATTTAGTTTCTAGCTTACATTTTCCTACATTTAGCTTCTAGCTTACCTTTTACTACATTTAGCGTTTGTCTAGCCTTTGGCTACATTTAGCTTCTGGTTAGTCACATTTAGCTTATAGTAAGGCTTTGACTGCATTTAGCTTCTGGTTAGGCTTTGACTGCATTTAGCTTCTGGTTAGGCTTTGACTGCATTTAGCTTCTGGTTAGGCTTTGACTGCGTTTAGCTTCTGGTTAGCCTTTGACTGCATTTAGTTCATAATTAGCCTTTGACTGCATTTAGCTTCTAGCTTGAATTAGACTTAATTTAGCTTTCAGCTTG